GCGACATGCTTTTGTCCGAAAGAGTGTCTGAGAAGCAGGAGAAAGCGTCGAGCTTCATGCACCGAATTGAGCCATGCGTTCCCAGGGCAATCAACGAACGGGCAGATGGGGAGTGTCTGGGGGTAAATCCATGCTACGGCCTTGACGAGAACGAGACATATTTCTGTGACAACAAATACGACATCATTCCCGAGATCTACAACGGCAAGAATGTTGCCGACTTCATAGACCCAGAGATACAGTCGAAGCTGCAGCAGGTGGTTAACGAGGAGTGCAGCTACTATCTGAGGGAGTACGATGTTATGTCGCCTGAGGAAAGAAGATTGTACGAGGACTGCAACAATGCAAGAATCCACGCCAACATGATGGCGCTGTTTAACAAGCGTGCATCGGTGCCTGCACATAGAAAGAATCCGGCAAGACAGGCAGCAGAGTTTGACCTGGTAGATCCAGCTCCGGCGAGCAAACACATTGTTTCGGCGGCTCCGAAGCCGTCAAGAAATAAGAAGGTCCAGGCAGAAAAACCAGGAAGGTATTACGACTTAAAGCCCAGGCATATATTCAGGCCGGAAGGCAGCAAGCACAGAAAATAAAGCTTTAACTCTCATTTCTATTTATTGAATGGATAGTGTTTTTTGATTGTTGTTCTATAGTTTGAATTTTAGCATGCAAGTCTATTTTGCTGCTACCACGTTTTCGCACAGTCTCCGGAAGAGCCGCCCATCTACAAGGCCCCAGTTGTCAAAGCCCGCTGCTTGAGATCTACGACTCCTTTTGTAAAATTTTTAGGCCCAAGGCTATGCAGTATTCTCTCGAGGACGACTTTTACAACTTCTTGAATGAGTCCAGAGGCCTTCCAGAAAGACTCCAGGAAGTGGCCGATGCAAACAAGGAGACGTTCTTTATTGATCTGGATGATGTGAGGGATGCCAGCAGCCAGCTGTTCACTGAAATTCACAAGGATTTTATCCACAAGCACGAGCTTCTGAATGGGATTTTCAAGAGCTACTGTCTGAAAAACATCGAGAGGCCGCTTGAGGTTGGCTTCAAAAATAGCGGGAACCGTCTAAAAATACGGGAGCTGAGGAGCGATGTGCTGGGAGACCTTGTTTCGTTTTCAGGAACTGTGACTAGGACCACGCAGGTTAGGCCGGAGCTTCATGCAGGAGTTTTCATTTGCAGAGACTGCAAGTCGGTAATAAGAGACGTGAGGCAGGAGTACAAGTACACCGAGCCGCTCTTCTGTCCCAACCACCTGTGCACGAACAGAAGGAGGTTTGAGGTTGATCTTTCTGAGTCTCAGTTTTCCAACTGGCAGAGGATCCATGTCCAGGAGAACACCGAGGAGGTGCCCAATGGATGTCTGCCCAGGTCTATTGATGTTGTTGTGCGTAACGAGCTTTGCGAGCAAATAAAGCCGGGAGCCTCGCACATCTTCACTGGATATCTTGTTGTTGTGCCTGATGCTGTTCAGGTTAAGCTGCCAAGCCAAAAGAGCGTTGTGGCGGCAGACGGAGTGGCCGACGAGAAGCAGAAGAGAAGCACAGGCTCGAAGGAAATGAGCTACAAGCTCTGTTTTTTCTGCATCTACGCTGACATCTACATAGAAAACGATGGGTTTACAAACGACGAGCTTGCGGTTGTCAGGAGGATGCTTTCGACGCCCGATCTTTACAACAAGCTGTCCGAGAGTCTGTTTCCCACCATCCACGGGCACAGCAATATCAAGTCCGCCATTCTCCTGATGCTTGTGGGCGGAGTGTCCAAGACAAAGGACATAAGACTGAGGGGCGATATCAATATTTTGCTTGTGGGGGATCCTGGCACTGCTAAGTCACAGTTTCTAAAGCAGACCAGTGCGCTGAACCCGAGGTCGATCTATACGTCGGGAAAGAGCTCCAGCGCGGCCGGCTTGACGGCAGCCGTGGTGAAGGATGGAGAGACTGGCGAGTTTACGATCGAGGCTGGTGCATTGATGCTCAGCGATCTGGGCGTGTGCTGCATTGATGAGTTTGACAAGATGACATATAAGGACCAGGTGAGCATCCACGAGGCGATGGAGCAGCAGACAATTACCATTTCGAAGGCAGGGATTAATGCAACGCTCAACAGCAGAACATCGATTCTTGCAGCAGCCAACCCGATCAGGGGCAGATACGACAAACGAAAGACCCTGCGCCAGAATGTAAACCTGTCGGCACCAATAATGTCGCGTTTCGATCTCTACTTTGTGCTGATTGACGACCCCGAGCCGGAGAATGACCGGAACATTTCTCGGCACATCCTGCAGAACCACCTTGTCTACAATGGCAGCGATCGATTCGGGTCTGGCCATTCGCCGGACACTAGCTTAAGCAGCTCTGTTTTGCGGCCGTTCTCGGTTGAAGAGGTGAAGCTGTTTATCAGATACGTGAAGGACAAGATGCCGGTGCTGACAGCGGAGTCCAAGAAGGAGCTTATCGACAAGTACGTGCTTCTCCGACAGGACTCCCTGGTCAACACCAACAACTACAGAATGACGGTCAGGCACCTTGAGTCTCTGATTCGTCTGAGCGAGGCGCTTGCCAAGATCCACAACGAAAGCGAGGTCTCTCCACAGTACATTCTGGAGGCATTCAGGCTCCTGAAGTCGTCCCTGGTCGAGATCAAGAGCGAGGACGTTGTTCTCACTGCGGTTGACTCGCTTGAATCCTACAGCCTGCCCGGCAAGGACCTGGCCAAGATCACCAACACCCTCATCTACCTTTTAAAGTCCGGCACGAACATAGGCAAGGACGAGCTTGTCTCCAGGTACCTACTGCTGGTCGAGGAGAGCCTTGGAACAATTGCGGTGTACGAGAACGAAAAGCTGAAGTGTGAAAAGGTCATTGATTTTTTGATTGGGCACGAGGGGGTGCTGTTTGAAATGGATGGGGTGGTGCACATTCATCCAAACTATGATTATTGACTTGCAAAACGGCCAAAAGTACTGCTGCCCACTACGATGTGACATGCTCGCTCATAAAGAGGCTACCCAGCCGAGTAGGTAATAAATGTTTGTAGAAGATAGTGTTTATTTATAAGGTTACCTCAGTAGACTGATTTATATTTTGGTTTGGCACTCGCCTAAAGCAGGGCCACCCTCTCCTTCCTGTCGGCCTGTTCGCTGCTCCTGCCCAAGGCATAGTAGAAGAAAAGTATGACGATTGTTGCTACTGCAATAGATGCGAAGACCTTTTTGTTGCTGAAGAAGAACAGGCTCTGGCCTTGCTCCTCCTTATTTTCCTTACCCTTGTCTCCTATCCCAATCTCTGCCGCCTTCTTTTCTACTGTCTGTTGGGAGATGATCATGCCAACCTGCTCCTCAAGCTTCTTGGCCTGCTTGGCACATTCATCAAGCTTCTTGCTGACCACAGGCCTTACTGTCTCGAATAGACCCTCAACGTCGACTGATACTGCAAATGACTGGACAAAGGAGTCAAAGCGCTCGGCGCCAAGGTTTATTTCATTCATGTTTTCATCGGTGTAGTATATGGAGTTCAAATCAAACAGCTCCACTTCGAGATCGTCAACGGGGAGCGACGTTATAACATGCTTCATATCAACATCGTACTCGCTATTTTCCCGGGGCATGAGCTCGACATACGTGACCTTACTGTCTAGGCTGGCCGAGACCAATACATATCGCTTGCGAACTGCAGCTCTGCTGTCCTTGGGGTCCTTATAGTCATACTTAAAGCCCATGAACACCTTGTACTTGGTTGGATCGTCCTTGCTTTTCTTCATCTCCAGCCCCACAAAGAAGAATGTCTGGGTTCCGTTGGCGCCTGCCATCGGCAACTCTATCTCTAATGGGGCATACTGCAGTCTTTCCAGAAGAGACAGCACACGGTGCTTGTAGTAGCAGAAGCTGCAGGAATAGTGCCCCTCCTTAAAGTCCTGCACGGTATTGACCGTTAGGATCTGCTGGGAGGAGGGCTGGTTTTTTGTGGCTGGTGTGTATTGGAACTCCCTGAAGATGTACTTGTTTTCGTTTGCAAATGTAAAAAGATCGCAGTTTCTGAGATCCTTTGACTTTTTGTCACAGTTTGTAGCGCTTGGATAGAGAAAGACATTAAACGATCTAACGTTGTCAGAAACATTGGCATTCTTTTCAACGAGCTTGTTCTTCAAGTACTCGTCCGAGGACTGCTTTTCTGTATTCAGAACACCCAATGCAGCCAAGTCTTTTAAGCACTTGGCAATCCACTTTACGTCTGCCATCAAAGGGGTGACGGCAGATGAAATAAACGGATGTGGCAAAACGAACTGCCAGAAGACAGAGACCGCAGTTTAACCCAAACAATCGGCTAACAAAACGAGTTTTATTTATTATGCTATAGTATGGGAACTCTGCGCATCTGCGGAGGACTCTTGGGCATCACCAGTCTTATCGTGTAGTACAGGATTACAGTGGCAACAATACACACTGCAATTATCTTGAATAGCCCCGGGCGTCCAGCTGCTGGGTCCTCTGCAGGCCTTTGATCGCCAGAGTTCTTCTGCGCTGCCCCGCTGCTGCCAGTCTTGGCATCAGATTTTGCATTCCTGCCCAGTGCCCTGTCAATTTCTTCGATAGCCTCTGCACTGAGCATAGGCTTGAAGCTCCTGGCAACTCTCTTGACCTCGGCCCTTATATCGGCAAACATGGTGTCGTCAGGGTATACTGCTTCGTACTCCTTCCTGAACTTACTAGCGTTGCCCGCAACAATGTTGACTGCCTGGCCAGTCTCGCTGTCAAATCTATATATCCTATCAATCTCAACATAGCTGATTTTGTATGCGTCATTCTCGGTGATGCTGGCAAACTTTTCAGCACTGGTGACGGCATCTCTGATCAGATACACATGTCTTGAGTTCACCCCTCCCTCAAAGACATGCTCTGCAATGCACAGAAGACAGATTCGCCTGCCGCTCCTTGCTATTAAATACACCTGTCCATTGTGCTGCATAGACAGCGCTACCATCTTCTTGTATTCGACCTCCTCTTCCTTCGATTTTTCATTAATCTCCTTTTTCGTGAGTTTCTTCTTGAGACCTATCAGAGTGAATCTGCCAGACCCAATGGCACCGAATAGCGAGGCCTCAATGTCCAAGGATGCATAGTCCAGCATGTCTATTATGGTCTCCAGCTTGTACTTGTAGTAGCACCCGTCGCAGCAGTATACTGCCTCGTTCTTCTCATCAACGGGGAAGGGCGAAAGAAACTGCACAAACCGCTTCTCATATCCAAGCATGTTCTTTACATAGCTGCTCTCAAGGACGAAGTCGCGGATTCCGATTTTCTGTGTTTCTGCTGCCTCAGACAGCTTGCATTTGAGGTTGTTGAGATGCGAGCAGCGTTCTTTGCTGGCGTCCACCCGCACCGAGTATGTTTCCAGGCCACCGGGAGACTTCTCCAAGTTGTTGTTCCTAAGTATCTTGTCGGCCAAATACTTGTCTTTACTTTTCTTTCCCAGCATTACGCCCTCGCTGGCAAGAGTCTTGAGAGTTTCGAGTATCCACCTCATCTTAAGGGGTACCGAAGTTAAAGCAGGAAGAGGCAGTTAGCACAAGGCGTGCTGCCCAGCACATACTGTCGCAAGTTGCCAGTGTAATACGTTAGCACTTTTCCAGCCCCCATGCCAAGTGAGACCGAGTCAGAGTATATCGAGAACGAGTCGTCAAATTCTCTCAATGAAGCAACGCTGGAGAATCTAAGGACACTGAGGGAAGCCATGCTGAACAACTACAGAGACTACATTGAGAAGTCCAAGGAGTGTGAGATTAGGGACTATGTGAAATATTCAATACTCTCGAATGTGAAGGAAACAGCTGTTTTTGAAGACGACTCAGAGGACTTGGGAGTAAGAGAGGACCTGGAAATGCTGGAGATTAAGAAAAAGGAATAAACAGCACACTTTATGCTATTTTGATTGCATATTGATTTGATTATTTATGTAAATATAGTATAAGATGATGCATAAACAAAGTTTCAAGAGCTGCTGAGACCAGCATGGTTGGCGGGGCAATTCTCCTCATGTTTGGCCAGGACTGGAGACCCATCCAAGACAAATGGAAAAGCAAGAGGACATGAAGAGCAGAAGGCCCATTACATACCTAGAGTACAGAAGACACTGTCTCTTGAACGGCGTTAAGCCAGAAAGAAGGAGGGTTATGGGGCCATTTGTCAATGCCGAAGCCATCTTAGAGAAAAAGGGGAGCAGGGCAGCCGACCCAGCAGTTGGCGAGGTGTTTTCAATGCTGCAGGAAGGCGGATACTTAAGCAGGAAAAAAATCAGCGAAGCTGCAAGGAAGATGCACCTTGACGAGAATGCACTGTCTGGTATTTTTGAAGTATGCGGGGAGGATATCTCAGAGGAGCAGTTTACTTCGCTATTCGCTGGCTGCACGGGATGCAAGGAGCCTTAAAAAGTGGGAATGCCGATCACAGCTTTCTACCAGCAGCCCCACCAACTGCAGTGTGCATCCGCCACGCATCCCCCTTGGGCCTTTACGGATTATTTTGATTGTTGACGTATTAAACATTCAAATTATTTTTTATTTCCACAAACAAAGTGCATGAATCGCAAAAAGGCACCCAAGCTGCACAAAAGATACGTAACAATAAACGATGTGTCTGAAGACGAACAGGAAAGAATAAAAAGCAGAATTTATCGACAGCCACAGGAAAATCCTCAGAAAGTACATTACCTGGATGGAGGTTTTGACTCTGAAGCAGTCGCTTCTTGGATGGGTGTTCAGAAGGCTCAGCACGATTCGGGTAAGCGAGTACGACATGCGGCCATCGCACTTCAGGTTTTCGGAGCACCATTTGCTAATACCAGGGATCCTGCATCTTGCCAGCGAGCTGCTGCTTGGGGACACTCTGGAGAAAACTCAGATTTTCAGGGTGAACAGCACGAGACAGAAAATAATAGACCTGATGGAGCTGCTCAGGAGGATATCGGCCTCGGAGCTTTCAAAGCAGCAGGGGATGACCAGGCTCAGGGCAGCCTTTGATGTTATTGACATCGCGGCAGTTTACAAGTTTCTTTTCAGCACATTTGAGGACCCAGTGATTCCCCGGCAGATGATCGACATAGCGATTAAAATAGAGCAGATCCAAGACGAGGATGACAAGATGGCGTGTACCAAGGCATTTATTTGGAGCCTCCCGTACACAAACCGGAAAATACTGGAGAACTGTGTTTATGTGTGCGCAAAGACTACGAGTAAGTTAAAAAAGTTGGACTCAAGCAAAAAGCTAAGTCTGCCAGGACTGGCTGTTATCATGATGCCAAATCTGATCAAGCCACACCTCAATGAGCCGAACTGGATGGGCATAAAGCATCTGTCGAATTTTGTGTGCTATATCTTTGAGCATTTTAAGGAACTGATCAAGGTTTGAGTAGAACTAATAAATTGTATTGGCATACATGAAATCTGTCTTTTATGCATCCTTTTGTGTGCTCAGCAGTGCATTCCCTGAGTCTTGGCCCATAGTCTGTGCCTGCTTTGGCAAAGCCACTGGGACCTGCAGCGCTAGGCTCTGAGCCGTGCTCCTTTATTATGTTCTAAATTTGTAAGTTCTGGCGGCTTTTCGAGCCCATCTCATGGAAGAAAAAAAAGCAGCTGAGGACAACTCCATATCTTATTACAACGTCCGATTTACAGACTTCACGGACGAGGACAGACAGAAGGACCCGGAGAAGATCGAGGCAATTGGCCTAGTCAATAACGGCCTGCAGTTTATACCAGACACGGTTGCAAGATTCCACAGTCTCAGACTGCTAAGAATTGTCTCGAACCCCATTGAGTTCCTTCCAGACCTCCTCTTCACTCTTCAAAATCTTGAGTTTATAGTGATCTCCAACTGTGAAATAACACGCATTCCAGACACAATCATAAACCTGCACAAGCTGTTCAGTCTCTCAATGCCGCACAACAAGATCGAGTATGTCACGCCCTGCATCTTCTACTTGCCAAAGCTGGCGCATATCAACCTGGACCACAACAGGATCAAGGGACTGTACCTGCCAGAAGATGCAGACATAGGCAGACAGGTGATGTCGCTGGTCGACAATCTGATCCCAGAGGGGGACGACCCAGCAGGCTTCCTGGGAAGGAAGGGCCTCAGGGGCATCTTTGGCATAAACATAATCTTCACGGTTGAAGAGAAAACAAGGAGGCAGGAAATACTGGAGCAGAGAGCTAAGTGGTACGGCGCACTAGAGCGGCTTCTGGACAAAGTGGCATGCTGCAAGATACCGGTAGGAACATTCATATACATATTGCTCCTGATTATTTTGATACCACTAGTCGTGATGGCTCTTCTGACATATGGAATGAAACGATGGTCCGATCCCAGCAAAAATAGTTTAATAAACTGATAGATCGCAATATCGATTCTGAAAGCAAACTACTCTGTTTGCATCTTCTCTTACTAATGGCTGGCATTGTGATTCTCGACTCTTTGGAGCATCAGCCCCTCATGGCATGGGCTAAAAGACTGCTGATGGTTGTAGCCTACATGCTCGATCCGGCTCTCATCGTTCTTGTAGCATTCAACAGCACCATCTACAAGCGGTGCCCCACATCGCAGCTCAGCTGTCTCCTTGACGAGTACCGAGCGGCAGTATTTCGAGACCTAGAGTGTGTGATTGGCTCACAGTTCTGTGCCGTGGTTGAGAAGGACTGCAACTTTGGAATTTTCAACAAAGCCCTGGAAAACGAGCAGACTGAAGAAAACACTGGGATCTTCAGGAAGGCATGGGGAAGGCTCGTCTTTGATGCAAACCTGACAGAGAGATACATGAACGGCAGAGGAATGCCCAGCACCTTCAGCTATGTATTGTTCTCGCCGTACCTGAGTAGTGAAGACTTCGATGGCAGCGAGAGCTTCTACTACACATACTCTGTCGAGGATAGGTTCACTGGCCACGTTAGGGAGGTTTTCTACAGGCTCTTTGAGACACTCAAGGACAGTCAGGTAGACGAGTTCCATAGCAGCATGGTTGACTTTAGAAGAGAGGCAAATGCACACTACATCTACTACGAGTTTAGTCTACAAGGGTGCGGACAATACATTGCCACTGAGTTCAGCGAAGAATCTGGCGGCAAGAGCAGGGAGATTATGGACAGCCTGTTTGAAATTAGAGAAAGGGTAAGAAAACTGAAAGGCAAAATCCCACGCACCAAGTTAGTTGACGAGGCAACCAGCATGCTCCTTGAAATGCTCACGAGGCAGAAGATTCTGAAAGCCGGGATTGATCTTGAGGAGTTCCCAGACGCAATACCGATGCTTTTCCCATACAAAATGCTAGATCTAAGATACTCTAGAGGTGATGCGGATGCACACCAGCTGATGACGATTGGGGTTGATCTAACAAACATCAGCAGCAGGCTCAGTCGGTTTTTCGACCTCGGGGAGCACTCGTTGAAATACTACACAACTTTTGAGGTATAAATAAATTCACTATTTATTGATCTATCTTTATGGCCAGTTCAGCAGTGTCTTGCTGCATTAGCACAGGTTGTTTCATCCACCCTTCATCCATGCTTTTCCACGTCTTCAACATTGATCAGAAAAGTGAAACCGAAGTGTATCTGTATGGCAGGCCTCCCGAGAGCAGCTCTGGAATTCAAGTGCTACGTGTGTGCAACATTGTGTCGCCCGTCTACTTTCTTCCAACGCCAGGCAACGAGGAATCTCTTATTCTGGAGATCAAGTCCTTCACCTCAGAGGTGAAGGAGATGGAAAGGGTCAAGAGACGGAACATCTTCCACAAGTCGGTGGCAAGAGAGTTGGAGCTGCTAAAGTTAACCTTCAACAAGAGGATCAGCTTTGAAAGCTTTGATTCTGAGCACTGCGAGATGATCCTTACTGAGTTTCAGAATCCTGTGGAGAATCTGGTAATATCAAAGGGCATTATGGGCCCTGGAATAGTCGAGCTGAGGAACGTTTCCAAATGCACAGTGCAATACAATGACGTCTCGTTTGTTAGAAACGCAAAGTTCCCAGAACTACAGATGGCCTCGATAGCTGTTGAAAGTGCCGGAGGCTGCATCTCCAAGTTTGCATACTACAACAGAAAAAAGGAGTGCTACACCTGCGGGGCGATAGGCAAAGCACAGCCAGCGGGATACAAGTCACTTGACGGGCCAAAAGAAGTGCTAGCCTTCATAAATGAGACAATAAGAAAGGACAATCCAGACTTCGTTGTGTACCACAATCTGCATGCCAAGTCGAAGCTTAGTCTCAGAGACAGGATAGTCTGTGATGTATTTTCGTTTGCACAGGGGACAGTAAAGGGCAGAGACTACTCCATCCAGGAGCTGTGCTCGCTATATCGCATTAACAGGACCAAGGGTCTTGAGGGAGATGCCAAGGCACTTGTCGACATTGCAGAGTCGATGAATGCGCTCAGCCTAGCGAAGGAAATGGCAGAGATAAGCGGATACCTGCTGAACAGGTGTCTGGGCAACTGCAGGGCCGAGAGGATAGAGTACACTCTTATGCATGAGCTGTATGCAGGAGGCTACTTGTTTCCGCCCGTCACGCCCAAGATGAATGTAAAGTACAGCGGGGGGCTTGTTCTGGATCCGGTCCAGGGATTCTACGAGGACATTGTGCTTCTGCTTGACTTCAATTCCCTGTATCCGTCGATAATCCAGGAGTTCAATGTGTGCTTCTCCACAGTAGGATCCAGCAGATTCTACATCACGGAGGACAATGCAGAAGACGTGCTGAACAACCCAGAGATTGTCAGCTCGGTGGCAGACAGACACGCGGACACGTTCCTGCCCAGGATTCTGAGAAGCCTGGTGAGGAGAAGACGATCAGTCAAGGAGCTGCTGAGGAGTGCAAAGAGCCCAGAAGAGAGAATGGCATTGGACATAAGGCAGAGGGCGCTGAAGCTCACAGCCAACTCGATCTATGGGTGTCTTGGGTTTACGGGGTCGCGGTTCTGTAACTTCGAGATGGCGGCATTCATAACGGCCAAAGGAAGGGAGCTGCTGAATGAAACAAAGATTGCTGCTGAGCAGCTGGGCATGAAGGTAATATATGGCGACACGGATTCGATAATGATCCACACAAGGTATCCCGGGACCAAGGAGTACTATGGCAGGGCAGTTGACTCTGCCAAGGCGCTGGTCAGCAAGATCAATTCGAGGTACAGCAGTATTGGAATTGAGCTGGAAAAGGTGTTTAAGAAGCTTCTGCTGTACACGAAGAAGAAGTATGCAGCCCTTGTGTTTGACATGAATGGGTCGTGCATTGAGACCAAGGGCATCGATATTGTCAGGAGGGACTTCTGCTCGGCAAGTACTGACCTGAGTAGGTCTGTCTTGAACGTAATGCTGGAGGACAGAGAAGAGTACAGAAGCGATGTTAAAACTACAAGCATCGCAGTCAATAATCCGTTTGATGGGTGCAGTGCGAAAACAGGCAGGGGTGTTGGCATTAATTTGCTTGAAGACTCGGACGAGGCAGGGGACAAGGCAAGGTGCAGTGCCCTTAAGAAGAACAACACCATGGAAACAGCAGAAAAGATATATGGGATATGCTCCGACTTTTACTCCACACTGTTCGCTAGGCCGGTCGAGGACTTTATCATTTCCTCAGTCCTCAGCCGGGATATCAGTGCGTACACCAATGCCACCAACCTCCCCCATGTAAACCTAGCGCTGAGACTCAGGGCATCCAAGAATATTACTTACCACCAGGACGACGTTGTGTCGTACGTCATTGGGGAGGGGGACGGCCCAATATCATACAGGGCCTACCACCCCGACGAGAAGGTCAAGATAGACTACCAGTACTATATTAAAAACCAGCTGCTGCCGTCTCTGTATCGGCTTGTCTCCCTGCTGTCCTTTGTCCACACCGAGAAAATTGGAATGATCTTCGAGGTGAAGGATGTTGTCCCCAGGACAGTGCAGAGCACTATGACCTTTGTGCTTCCGTGCTGCCAGCATGTCCAGGGACCTGCTTCCCAGTGCTCTAGATGCGGCGCCGTCATTCCAGACGAGTTCTACATTGAAAAGGTCAGCACAAAGCTGTATCAAGCCGTGACTAGTCTGTATAAGGAAAAGGGAAGATGCATTGACTGTGGAATCGTGTATTCAAACCATCTTGTCCGGTGCTTCGAGTGCCAGAAGGACCTGGTGTTTGACTTCAAAAACCTTGAGTTTGACAACTGCCTGTGCTCCATCGAGTCCAGCTTCCAGAACTACAACATCCCTGAAATCAGCATGCTGGTTTCTTCGTATTCTGAAGTATCCTCGTACCGTAGAATCGGGATGGCCAGGTACTTTGGCAAGGAGCTGGAAAAGGGAACCGGCGCTCCGATGTGAATGTAACTCTTTTAATTAAATGCCAGTGACAGCAGTCTTTTTATTTACCGCTGGTTTCAGCTAGCCAAACAATAGATTATATACAAACACAATCTGCACCACGGTCGTCCATGATTGAGGAGATCTTCATTTCTGATTTTTCAAACAACCTTTTGTTCGGGCACTCGCACAGCTTCCCGTTCAAGAGCCCAGCACCAAAACAGGCTGGCACAGACAGCCAAGCACCCCTGCTTACGTATCCAGTCTCTGTCCACTCTGGCCACAAGTACAGCCATCTCCGAGTCAATGACACCATTCTGACTGTCCGATTCACCGACTTAGACAACTTTGCTGCAACAAAGTACCTGGTGGATCTAAAGCTGTACTTGGAGAACAGAATATCACATGTGACAGCCGCCACCGTAAAGAATAGCTATTTTGTGCTCCTGGAGCTGCTCAGAACGCCCGAGATCGTGTTTAGGCCCGCCCCAAATGGAGTTGCGGGATTTAACGAGAGCACTCTTGTGGACAGCAGCATGTTTGCCGCCAGCAACGTCCTTGTCAATATGGTCCAGAGCATCCACAGTGTGCGGAACATGCGGGACGATGTGCTGCACAGTAGGTCGTATGGAGAGGTGTTCCTGGACCACGTGCCGGTGTCCTCATTGAAGGCTGTGTTCCAGATGCCAGACAACGTCCAGTTCAAGACGCCATATCCGTTTGAGCAGCACAAGATTCACGGCAGCTCAGATAACGTAGTGGTAATATCAGGCAAGAATGTTGAAAACAGAAACATCCTCAGCTTCCAGGTTAGAAACTCCGCCCTGTACTTCAGACTTGAGAATGGCAGGAGTGAGCATGAGAACGGCGTGCGGACTTATACTTTCGTGAGTGAGTACAAGGGGAAGTTCAAATTTGTTGAGTTTAGAATACCAGTTGGAAAGAGAGCCTACAGGGCCGAGGCCAAGGCGAGTGCCGGAGAGTGCAACTTTGACATGAAAACAGGAACGGTGCACTGGAGACTCAGGGACTGTCTCTTTGGCAGGGAAAGCATCAGAATAGCAGTGTGCTCGCTTGACGAGGAGGTGGCAAGCGGGCAGAAAAGGAGCAGCATATCCGTGGACTTCAGGCTTGAGGATGCCGAGGATTCGCCCGTTAGGCTCGTGAGCTGTGCGAACATCCACCGGCCCAGCCAGAAGTTCTGGATGAGGTGCACGACACAGAGCCAGGACTACAGGTTTTCCGGTGTTAATTAAATGGTTTATCAGCAGATGTAATTAAGATTTAATGTTGTTTCGAATGGGAAGATGGAGCTGCATGGAGCACTGCACAGACATCATGGCCGAGTGGTCTAAGGCGTTCGACTCAAGATCGAATACGCGTACGCGTGCGCGGGTTCGAATCCTGCTGATGTCATTCAGTTTTGCCAGTCCATTGCATTTGTTGGCCCATTTCAATCGCAAATTTTTGCAGGGCATGGAGGCTGAGATCGTTGCGATTGGAGATCCTCTGAAAATCAAGCCGATTGCTGCCGACTTTACCCACTGCCAAAACGGCAGCGTCTTCCTCATCTCGGTGCCCCGGAATCTTCAGAAGTATGTTACCTCTTGCTTGGCCTCTGAGAACGTAAAGGCCATGACGTACATGCAATTTCAAAGGGCCTTGGCGAAGCTGAAGAGGAGCCAGCCGCTGCTGGCTGTGACACGAGAGAGTGCATTCGGGTGGCTAAGAGCGGGAGACGACTTCTTTCACGTCACATACGGCAGCTGCTTTGAAATGAACTCAATCGACAGAAGAACGGTCAAAACAGTCAACAGGATTGAGCTGATATCACAGTGCTATATTTCAAACGACGGATCAATATATGGGTTTGTAAGGGGCGCCTCTGTCAGCTTCTGCATCGGGGATGACCTGGACTTGGTTTTTGATGCCCGGCTCGAGGAGAACATTGATTCTGTTGTGTACAGTGACAACAACGCCATCACAGCCCTGGTTACCTCGTCTACTGTTTATATCTACGACCTTTTCAGAGGAGTGCTGGCTTCCAAGTTTAGTGCCCAGCCGTTCAGCTTTGTGGGCGAGTCCATTTATTTCCACATACAGGACAAAGCGGTGCCGATTTCTTCGTCCTCGGACAGCCAAGCGGGGGAGATGGGCTCGCCTGCCGAAACAGCCAGCACGCTCGGAAAGGGACTCGAGAGCATCAGCATTAGCGACAACTCGTTTGTGGTCTGTAGCAGAGGCAGAATGGCGAGATTTGTAGATGGCGCATACCAGAAGATCGTCTACGACAACGGGCAGCCAACCTCAAAAAACGTGACACATGTCAAAGACATTCGATTCTACTTCGCAGACTCTCGGCTGTTTGCCTTTCTAACCAAAAATCCGGGCTCGGGAGACTTCTATGTCCTTGAAAGCTATCTGAACGGCGAGGTCACGTCCCTCAACCTGGACCATAGCATTCTTGATATTTCCGTCTCCGACAACTTCTTTGTCATTCAGCTGTCGAACTTCGAGGTCCAGTTCTACACAAAGGAAAGGTACAACTTTAGAATGCTCCACAGCATAAAGAAGAAGGAGAAGGTCATGCTGTCCTGCTTTAGCTCCCTCTGCTGTGTTTACAACAGCATGTCGAGCAGCATCGAGTTCTACGACAGGGCAGTGCTTAGAACTGTGCATTCACACTCTGGATGCACCGGCATTGAGTGGAGCCAAAACGGACTCTATGTTGCAGTGTTTTCACACAGCGAGTCTTCTGGCGGCCTCGTTCAGATTTTTAACAGCAACGGCACACTGATGTTCAAACAGGTATACAACAGCCTGTCCAGCTTTGGGTGGAGACAGCATCCTGAAGCTAGTGAGGAGGAGAAACAGAGTATTTTGAAAGCGCACCGCTTGGACGAGATCGAAGAGAAGGATGAGGACAAGGACATCGAAGCTTTGGTAAAGGAGTGGAGAGAGTATCTTCTGTCCCATCGCAAGTATTAAATTATTTGTCATAACTCTGTGGACTTTATACAACAACATCCCAGACCGGCTCACAAAACCACCAACATGTATTGAATAATGTCTTTTTGAGCAGGCTGCTCTTTTTGGCCCATGAAACTCATTGAGGTCGGATCGTCTTCTGAAGACAGCAGTCTTGAGTACATCGGTGAGGACGTCTCGGAGCTATGCTTTGATGATGTTTACAGCTACACTTCGCACTTTAAAAAGGTATGCATCCACAAAACAATATTCTACGCCTCGGACCTCAAGACACTTTTGCCAGGAAGATGGCTGAACGACAAAATTATAAACTTTTACTTTGAGCTACTGGGAAGATTCCACAAGCAGTCGTACTACTTTTCCACGTTTGTCTATCCAATGATCATTGAGAAGTCCACGGAGGAGCTGGCGGAGTTGTTCAGCACCGTCGACTTTTCGAGGTACCGCAGCTTCTTCGTCCCAATACATGCGGACTCGCACTGGTCGCTGGTAAAAATCCAGGACAACCTTTTGATAGGATACGACTCAATGGCCGAGGTTGCATATGGCAAAATACTGAAAATCAAGGAGTTCTACGCCAACGTCATTCTGGAGCGGAGCAACGAGAATGTTGGGTTCTATTTACGACACACCCGCGGAAAGATTCCGAGGCAGAGCAATGGGGACGACTGCGGGGTGTTCTGCTGTGCATATGCCAAGTACTATGCGGCCGACGACTCCAACTACTTCTGCTTTAGCACACACGACATTCCCAGGATCAGACGGCAGATGCTGCACGAAATACTGTCGGGCAGAATACTGTACTACGGAGAGGCACTGCCACATTCCAAGCCCTCCACTGGCACCTGAGCCAATGCTGTCTGCACATTCAATAAATTAATAGACCTAAGACAAGAAGCAGTAGCCAACTCATTTAAGTGTCTGACACGCATATACCAATTATGGTTTATTTATTCGAAGTAGCTGTCGTTCTGGTCCTTTCTATTATGCTCGGACCGGACAGTGTCTAGGGGCGAGTCGGCAAACGAGGTGTCAAAGCCCGCCTCATCGTAGCCAGACAGATAGTCCATCTTGATCCCCCTTGCGTCGCAGTAGTCCTTAAAGCGCTCTCGCACATTGGCCACTGCATCCTCCTTTAGCTTGCGCCCAAGATCCGTTTTGAAGCGCAGGTCATATTCAACGACTACCGGGACAACACTGATCCGGTGGAGATAGTTTGGGCTGGCAGCAAGACTCTCCAGCTCGTAGAAATACTCCTCTATCCAGGAGTGTAGCTGGACTATTTTGACCAAGATACGCTGCGCCTGCTGCCTCACCTCCCAGACCTTGTCTCTAATATGCTTCAGTAGAAACACCATGAGCAGCTTTGAGGTAAACTCGTCCGAGACCTTCTCCTCAACCAGACAGAATATCTCGTACTTGTCTCTCCACGGCACATTCTCCGTCTTGTTTCGTATCAGGGGAATGGTGATCTTCTTGAACATCTCTCCCTTGAGCCCCAGCAGTCTCTTTCTCACCTCCCAGCTGCTGTCTTCCAGCATTTTTCTGAGCACAGCCTCGTCCTCAATCTTGTCTAGAACGCCTCTGAGATAGTTTCCCCTCACAAGCTCGTTTGGATCGTCTAGCAGCTGTGTGTAGCTCAGACTCGTAAGATGTCTGGCCAGCTCAATCCTCACCTCGTCCAGCGGATCCGAGATCAGCTCGCTGGTGATCTTCTCCTGGTCGCCCTGGCTGAATTCCGATATTCTGGACGCCACCTTCAATCTCATCCTCCAGTTCGTGCTTTTGATCAGATCAATCAATAGAAAGCTGCTTTCACCCAGCATCGCCAAAATGTCGACACAGAGGATCTTGACCATTGTGTACTTGCTCTTGAACAGATCCAGGGCGATCTCCAGCAGCTCCTCTGCATCGAACGGATTGCTTTCTCGTATCGAGAACACCGTCCTTTTCACAACTTCACAAATTTCGTCTTTCAAGCTAATTTTTAGAATAGACTTCTTCTCGGCAAAGGACAGGTTCTTGACAAGGAGAGGAACAGCCATTCTGTGCAGATAGAACCTGGAGCTTTGAAGTAGTCTAAGAAAGTCCAGATCGATCTTTTCTGCCATTACCTTTTCTATCAAAGGTAGTGTGCTTTCGAATCGCTCAATTAGGAGGATGTTGTATATTGAGAGAAATGCGCGCGAGGGCGGTAGAGATCTAATCCTGTGCATGACATTTTCTGTGAGTTCTTCACTTACTCCAATAAGGGACTGTATCTCGGCAATGTCGAGAAGATTCATGTCCATTTGAGAAGGGGGTGCCAAAGAAAGAGTGGCTGAAATGCAAAGCAAAGCATGGGGATAGGCCAGACCCGACCAGCCTGGGCATGAGCTAAAATTTGCAGGAGCGATCCTGGACTACAGCCAGGAATCTCCGTTGGCCTCAGCGCTTACTCGGCAGTTTTGCAGTAACCGCAATGGCCAAGAGGAGCGTGCAAAAGACAAGAGAAGAGCCCATTGAAGAAATAGACCTAAGCTCGGAAGACTACGAGACATACAGGCCAACAGGCACGGAGGAGGGCGAGCTTGAGGTGGATGAGGAGGCCTATTCTCTACTCGAGTACATCAGTTTGGAGTGGCCGTCCATGAGTCTGGATATTTGCAAGTCCAGGATCGTCCTGGGAACCTTTCCAGACCGAGATCGCACAGAAGAGCATGACAACCAAATAGTTGAAGTGGAACTGGAGAGGACTGCAGACGGCAGTGGGCTTAGCGTGCTTGAATTTAGAACACATCCAGCCGACAGAGCATTCAACAAAGTCCGGATCTGCAATGCGATCTTTGCGCTTTCGGACAGCTTTCTCACAAAGTTTGATCTGGAATGCAATGTTGTTGCAGAGGTAAAGGGGTTCTTCAGGTTTGGGCTGCATGTTTCAGACAGCTATGTAATCGTCGGGTGTGAAAATGGCAACGTCGAGGTCTACAGCCACAGTCTCGAGCTACTGGGCTGCATATCGTCTGGCGAGTCTCCGATTGAGTGTGTGGGCTTCGATGATGCTCGGAGCATAATAGCCACGGGGTCGCTAGACCACAGGGTCCGAATATTTGACCTGAAGGGAGAGCTGCTCTCAACCATCGAAAACGACTCGGAGGTTAATTCTTTGGATGCCAGAAACGGACATGTAGTGTTTGGCGACGATAATGGCAGAGTGCATCTCGTAAATCTTGAAACTGGCAGCAGGGAAGTCTTTGAGTGGCATTGCACGCCCATTTCGTTTGTCAGGTGGAGGGACGACGAGGTGTTTGTGACAGGATCTGACGAGCAGGTCTGTCTCTGGGATATTACTCTGGAGGACGAGCAGGGCCTGGATGTTCCCCGAAGCCTTCTCTTTGTGCATCAGGGCCAAAGATGCTATAAGGACTGTGCATTTTATGGAAGCTCGATAGCCGTGACCAGTGAGGACGGGCTGTGTGTGTTTGAGCCGGTTTCGTTTGCTGAGCTGTCTGAATAAGCATGCTGCACACAGATTTTTTGAGCAAATTTTTGCAGTCCTGGATGGAGGAAAGCCTGCTCCTGCTGAAAAACCAAGACCAGATGGTTGTAAAGTCAAGGGATCACAACCCAAGCGGCCACGGAACAATGCCGGTGAATAGGCCAATTGGCGAGTATCTGAAGTACGGGGTGGTCACGGTCGACAAGCCTGCAAATCCATCCTCGCATGAGGTTGTGACGTGGGTAAAGGGCATCCTCGACTGCGAGAAGACAGGCCACAGCGGGACGCTGGATCCGAAGGTGACTGGCGTGTTGAGCATCTGCTTGAACAGAGCAACGAGGCTGACCAAAAGCCAGCAGAACGCAGGAAAGACATACGTTTGCTGCATTGAATTTGACACGGAGACCACGGCCGAGAAGTTCAGCAATGCATGCAGGAAGCTGACTGGGCATCTGTTTCAGAGGCCGCCTGTGATGTGTGCAGTCAAGCGGGATCTAAGGCTGAGATGGATCTATGCGATTAATATTATCGAGTTTACGCCCAAGATGGCGCTTTTCGAGGTCAGGTGCGAGGCGGGGTCCTACATCAGAACACTGTGCACACACATTGGGCTGTACATCGGATGCGGCGCAGCAATGGCTGATCTCAGACGGACACAGAGTGGGCTGACAACAGAGGACGAGTGTGTGACGCTCCACGATGTCCAGGATGCCTACTACATGTACAAAAAGACCGGAGAGGAGAGGTATCTCAGAAAGGTGGTGAGGCCTCTTGAAACACTGCTGGTGTCGTACCCGAGAATAATGATCAGAGACTCGGCCGTGAATGCCATATGCTACGGGGGACAGCTGTCGGTGCCTGGGGTCTTGAGGTACGACAGGGACTTTGACACAAACTCGACTGTTGTGCTGATGACAGCCAAGGGCGAAGCAGTGGCAATAGCCCAGCCGCTGGTTGCATCGAGCCAGCTGGCCGAGATGGAGAGAGGCATCATCACGAAGACCAAAAGGGTGATAATGGAGAAGGATCTCTACCCGAGGGTGTGGGGCATTCTGGACGAGTACGAGGTCCTGTCTGACTAGGCCCTGCGACTTTAGCCTTGGCATTAAAATAAATTAAATTAGCAATACTTGCTCTGAACAACCATTTAATTTTGTGCTTTTGGCGCAATATAGAACTTGATGTATCCAATGCTGCCGATGTCGACTTCAAAAAACACCGGCGTCGAGTTTCCAAGGTTGACTCTTACCTCGCTGCTGAGGGTGGACACCTTATTGACAATATTAACATACTTCATGGCTATCTCTAAGTTGACAGGGGCTGTCGCGTCGATAAACACGGTCTCCTCGTTTGGCTTCAGACTCATGTTGTTCTTTATCAGGTCTCCATTCTGCTTGACAACCAGCCTTTTGTCTTCGCACTCAAAGTTGATATACTCTCCAAACGACCCAATAAGCCGCGAGATGTTTCTGAACTGCTCCGAGGGCATTCTGACCTTTGTGTCGAACTCGAGCTCCGGCACTGAGTAGGACTCTGTGCCTATTTGGTACAGAGTGATGTCAAACTCGAACTGGGAGTTTGGGAGGATGTGCTCGATTTTGAGGGCCTGGGGCTCGTCCTCGCATGAAAATCTCAGAAGACTCTTCTCCTCAAGGGCTATTCCCCTAAGGACGGTGAGGAAGTGCTTGATTGGGATGCCCAGCTGCACATCCCTGTCGCATCTGTAGCTCGTGAATGTTTCTCTTGAGAAGTGCACGTCTGCCAGGGCAACATGCATCGAGTCCATCACCTGGATGTCCAGTCCCGAGTCGGAGCACTTGATTTCCATCTTATCCACGATGTCTGCGAGACTCTCGATCACCTTTCTAAATGCGTTGAGTCGCTCGTAAGCGATGTTCTTTTCTGAGTCTGAATTTTCTGAGTTCAACCTCGAACATTGGGGAAGATGTTGGATAAAAAATTTGTCGAGGGCTCTGGGACGACATCTGGGCACGAAATAGCTTTGGCCAGCTCCTCTGCAGACCCAAGGTAGCACGCTGTTTCTTGGGACTTTTATGCTTTGTTTTCTTTTACCCCAAAATGGTAGAAGTATTTAAGCTTTTACTACTGGCACTCAGTGTTGGAACGACTGGAGACACAGAGCAGAGACACGTCCAGAGCATCAGTGCTGTGGATGAACAACCGAAGCACACACCGTGCTGTACAAAATATAAGTGCTCAAAAGCAGATGTTGTCCTTTTCCATCTCTTAAGCGATGAGGACGTTGTTGACAGTCTCAAGGATCTGACCAAGTTTCTAGTTTTCAATAGCAAAGCTCTTGCCAGTGTAGCGGCAGATCTTTTCACTACGACGCCGTACGGAAGGCTTCTTAGCGACATCGTTGGGGCCGAGGACAATCCTGAGGTAGACAATATCCGAGAGATGATTCGAAGCTTCTTTGTAAAGTTTCACGAGTACTGCGACAGAGACGAGATAGCCGGAGAATTCAGGGCAAAACATTCCCGTCTCCTCAGAGCTTCGTATTCATTTTTCCAGAAGCATGCTTCGTTACTTGGTCCAAAACCCGACAGCGATGGCCGCGACCATGCATGGCTGATTAACGACTACTTCCTCTTCAAATTCTACGAAGATGGTGGGATCTTCCTTCCGCTGATCAACCCAGCCTTTGTGCCCACACCGGCTCTTCCAAACCCAGACAAGGTAATGAACCTGTTCATGAAGAATCTACGGGTCATCTATTCGTCTGGCATGGAGCATGAGGCGGTCGTTGATGCTGTGTTCGCCAAGATCAAGCACCTGCGTGCAGGGCTCAATGTTTTGGCCAGGAGGATGTTTGCCTCTCCGCTGAGCGAAAGCAAGGACGAGTTTGAAGTGGTGTTTGATGAGATAATCAAGAAGATCAAACAATCTTGTCTGCCTAGAGTCGATGATTAAATTTGTTTTCGCTTTTAATCTAGCTGTGTTTAGCATACTTTCGCATAAGTATGCTTTCTGTTGATAAATATGCAGATGCACTTTTATCCCCACCGATGTGCCTGCAAGAGTACAGCACCGTTCCCATAATCATAGGCTCAGAGGCTGTCTTCGTGCCAGAAAACGAGAGGGCATTTCCCGAGCTCACCCACGAATGGAAATGCTATGTCAAGGCCACCCCGGGCGTTCTCAAGACTGTCCAGTTCAGACTCCACGAGTCCTTCAAAAACCCATACATCAACGTGCTGCAGGAGCCGTTCCAGATATCCGAAAAGGGATGGGGAGAGTTCACAATACAAATAAAAATAATACTGTTCAACAACGAAAAGATCAACACCAACCACTACCTGAAGCTGCACGGCAGCACCTACCCCCTAGTATCTGAAAGGGTGGATACGATTGCCTATAAAGGAGAGGCCGTACCCATAGATCCGGGGTACATGTTCGAGTATGTCGACGACGACGAGGAGTACAAAAGGATTGACGAGGGCATAAACTACATGCTTGAGCTGCTTGAGGACCGAAAAAACAAGTAGGATGCCGCACGACTCGATGGCCGCTCTGTTGATTAAATAGCTTGTGCAGGAATTGAAATTTAAAACCGCTGTAATTTTAAAGGCTGATTTAATGATCTGTTCTAATGCTGTGCTTTTCTGACGATCTGTGGTAAAATTCAAGAAAGCCTCGATACTCCTGCTCATCCACAAAGACGTCCACCAAGAACAGCACGTCTGCTGCGGTCTTCAAGACCAAGCACTTGAACTCTGAGCCTGCGGCTATTTTGTCCGATTCGGCAATTTTCCGGGTCAGGGTTTTCTTTGCTCTGGTTTGGTACTCGCGGCCAGAGTCCACAACAGTCACTATTGAATGCAGGTTTTGCGGTGAGTAGGAAATATCGCCTATGAGGCAGGAGCACAGGAAGATTCCGGGCTCGCCAATGTGATGGATTGGAACTATTGGGATGTCGAGGGGCCTGTGCGGCTCTACTGGCGCTGTGCCATCTGCTGCAGAGGCACTCAAGCAGCTGTCTCCAGACATGTCTGCATTCGGCTGTTTCCGATCGGCATCCGCGTCGCTGTTGTCTGTGTCCTGTGTTTGGCTGCTTTTGTGCAGACTCGAATAGTACTCCTGCTCTCTTGCTTTGATTTCGCCTAGTTCATTTTCGCTGTCCACAGGAACAACATCGCCGGACAGGTTGTCGTGCATGTATGCCTCCAGGACAGTGTCGAACGAATGCATCCTGATGTTCACAAATAGACAGTGCTTCCCAACAGCAATCCTCTTCAAAAGAGACGAGTGCTGGCCAAAAAGCTTGATTGTGAGCACCATATTGTTGGGAAATGCCCCGTATCCCCGCTCCACCATCGGACTGGCAGTAAAGTCTGTTATGCTTACCGACGGCACCTGGTCGTATTCGCAGTGAATAACCTTGCCAAGGATGTTGAAGAAGCTTCTGTCTCGGAGATCCCGGATGCTCTTCATTTTTGACGACGCAGAAAACGACGTGCTTCTATAGCAGCTTGCCAAGAACCGTGCAATTGCATGTTCCACAAAGCTGCCCAGCTCCTGCCCGCTGTTTTCGGCAGAATCTGCCGCCTCGTAGCCTGTCACCTTGTAGATTAGACAAGGCTTTGAGACAACAGCAACGCGCTCGCTAAATCCCTGCTTTATATTCCTGACTAGCAGGACGTCCCCCTTTCTAAACGGCTCGCTGGCATCCTCGGCCATTTCTCGGAAGCTCTTCTCATCGATGAAAACCTTGAGCTCCACACTGCCAGTCTGGTCAAGCAAGCACAGAGAAAACAGATGGTCGGTTCCCTTGGTCTTAACCAGGGGCTTGTAGTCTGTGCACACAGCAACCACGTCACAGTACTGGTCTTTTCTTAGGTCGGAGATGTACTTGAAGGGATTTCTGGCAATTTTGACACCTTTTGTGTATTCTATTTTTGAAAGCTGAGAAAAGTGGGAAATGTGCGGGACACTGACAACCACTCTGTCGTTTTGGCCAAGCTGGCCATGGTCGACTTCGCCTCCAGACAGCTCAAAGCTTCCTTCCTGCGTCCTGATTGCCACTTTTTCCGAAGAGCAGTTCTGGACTTCTCCGAGGATTATCATCTGAGCTGGGTTCTGGAAGAATGTCGAATGGCATGTGCCACTGTCGCAACTTGGCAGTGTGTATTCCATCCACTCCAGTGCAGAAATGGCCTCTGTCCTTTTATGTTTGTTCTGTTTAGATCCCAATGGACCAGCATAGCAGAGCGAATGACAGCAAAGCAGATGAGAAGACAGGCTCGCTGTTTGACGAGGATGCGGATGGCGTGCCACAGAGGAGCACAGAGATATCCTCTGCAAGGACGCACCAGAGTCTTTTTGACGACCAGTTTGAAAGCAAGGTGAGCATCTGGAAGTCCTATAGGGAGGAGAAGAATGAGCATGAGGATCTTGATGACGATCTTCTGAACAATCCTGTGCTCAATTCAAGCCCATCAGAGAGTTCATGTGCCAATAAAACACTAAAGGATGTTCCAAGAATTAACAGGTTTTGGGGTGCAGGAGTGCAGAACGAAGCAGGCGCGGTCCAGGAACAACCAGACGGCAGGCAAGAGGCGAGGGACACCATGGATAGCACATCCCACGGTGCTTCTGCCAGTGACTTGGCAGCAATTAGGCCCGAGATTCTCCAGAAAATCATGTTTGAAGATGAAGGCTCTGCAAGGAAAAGCATCCGCGAAAGATCCACCCATCCCAGCATGGAGGAGGACCTGAATTTTGGAGGGGGTGCATATGAGAGCAAAAGACAGAGAATTGGCGGGGCCAGCATGCTGGGCTCCAGAGTAGAAATGCCAAAAAGCCCATGCCAGAACAGTCACTCGAGCATGAGGGG